AAATGTTACAGATTTGGACAAATACGCACAAAAACATCAAAATTAGCACAGAAACAGTACTATATAACATTTTAGACACATTCTAGACAGTTTATCGGCGAAAAAAAAGTTAATTTTGTGGTAAGTTACTCTTTAAAGCGATTTGATCATTTCTTCTCACAGAACAGGTGTGGCTGGACAGCTGAACATATCCACATGGGAAAAATTTTAACCAACCAAGGAGAAGGGACATCTATAGATTGATTGAAATGAAATGAAAGTTTGTTTGGACAGTGACAAATTAAATTTTGCTTCTCCTAATTTTTCATAAACACTCAAGAGTTACTTTAAATGAGCTCATGACTACTGGTTGGAGAGCCCTGATTTACACTCACCAAACCAAAGCACCGCAGTGAATAACATGTCTCAGCTGTAAACTCAGAATGATGCAGAATATTCTTAATTAAGCCAAGTGGACTGTGTTTCTGTAAAAGAGGTTTTTCCAATTTAAAAAAGTGTGAAATTACATTTAGGACACAAAACTTTATATGTATAATAACTCAGATCTTGGTAAAAAAAAAAGCAACTTTAATTTAAAATTTTATACTATGATATGACGTAAGCATATTAAAACAATCAAATAAGAGCAAACTAAAGATACAGGTGGTCCAACTAAACTATGTATGAAATTTATAAGTCTGGAGGTGCTTAACAAAATGAATGTTGCATAAATTAGTAGGGGTGTCCCGATCCGATATTGATAACGGATATTGGTCCAAAATCAGCCAAAAAACCAGTATCGGATTTTATCGGCCTGATAAAAAATCTCTGATAAAAGTGCTCCGACATAAGTAGTCAAATTCAGCAGTCCACTGACTCTGCTCCAGCTTCTCTATCCAGCAGCGCTTGGATCCAAGCATGCAGAGCCCACGTAATCACAACAACATGCTGCGCTAACAAAGTAGCAAGAAGTAGGAGTGATGTCGGCAGTACTTTCTATTTTCACCAAAAACAAAGTTGAAACTAAGTGTAAAATTGTCACACAAAAGTTTTCTGTGGGGGAACAGAACCATGAACGTTTTAGACCAGAGAAACAACCAGACTCTGCTCTCGACCCTGGCAGCAGCTACGTGGTTCGGCTCGGTCCAGTCTCCATGGTTCTAACCGCGCACAGCTGCGCCGTTCCAGAACCTCCTCTCCGGTGGTTCTAGCGGACAGAAGTGAGAACAGCATGGTTACGGTTTTGACATCAGCAGAATGCTGCCCGTGGATTAGCTCTGGGATTGATTGACAGAAGAAAGGAGAGTGCAGCTTTTGTTTTGAAATGCGAGCACTACATGGCGAGAGCCGTGCTAAAAACTGCTCCCTGCAGGAGCGAGAGGCTAATCTCCACATGACGCTCAGACTGTAGAATGTGGAAATGCAGCAGTAAGAAAGGTAGCTATCAATTTAATTAACTAATTCTATTTATTTTGCTCTTGTTATTAGAGTGACGTTTAGTCTGTTTACACATTTGTTTTAGTGACGATTAAGTGCAATGATCACGTTGCTTTGGGCATAATCAGTAAAATTGGAGCTGTAGACTCTTAACTTTGAACAGATG